GGTCACCTTATCAAGACCCACACCTGACCCAATGTCCTCGTGGGTGGGGTGGGTGCAGGTGGGTGCGGGTCTGGGTACCCGGTGCTCATCTCTGACTTGTTGTTTGCCCTATCGATTATAACCCTGGTGATTCCTTGATCTGCTGTCCATTGATCTATAGGGTTAGCATGGACCATTTGTTTCTAACCAACGACGGTTTTGAAAACGGAGGGCAGGAGGTGGATGTGACTAAGTAGTGTGGGGTCAGATACCGTCCAGATGGTTTCGTTTGGTTGGGAAAATGGAACAGTAATGGCAAGCTGGGCAATGCATACTTTGTACCCAAGCACAAGGATGTCTCAAGGTGGAGACCTATCTGGCCCACTTTTTCAGAATGCGGGGTGGCTGCTAGCAAGAAGGTGGCAAGGGCGGTTAACCAACCGCTTTGGGATTTGCCGAGGGAGACTAACTTCAATCTTAAGAGCATGTCGGAATTGGCAACAACAATCAGTATGGCTAATAATAGGCTATGCAAAGGAGAGCGGTTTCTGTGTGCGGCTTTTGACGTCAAGGAAATGTTCTGCAACCTGCCGCATGAATCTATCATGGAGGCAATGAGGTGGGTAGCCGATTTTTGGATGATGAGGGGATGCAAGGGCGTGATGGTTCGGACGAGGGGAAAAGGGGCTAGGCTAAGGTTTGGAAAAACCAAGATGGGTTGGACTCCAGTTTCACTCGATGTCATTGTGAACTTCGTCTCCTTTGAGCTTGACTGTTCCTACTTCAAAGCATGTGGGCGGGTCCTACAACAAAAGGTGGGCAGTCCTATGGGGAAAGCATCTAACCCTGCACTGGCTTGCCTACTTTGTGCATACAACGAGTTTATGTTCGTATCCTCACCAGGTTCCAATCGACGTCTGGTATTTGGTATCCGTATGGTGGACGATGTCTCCCTGTTAGTCTGGTAGAAGGTGGGCGACACCGCTTCCTTTCGGACAGTCGAGAAGGTTTTGGATATTTTTCGTACTTGCTATGATGACAAGTTGGTCCTTGAACAGACGAGTGTTGGCGACTGCTGGGACTTTCTCGGCTGTGTCGCCAAAGCATTGGAATGGCCATGGGGGATTCAATGTGTGGCACTGCACAAGAATCAGCGCAACTACCAAGAGAAGGAGTTGCGTTTTCAAAATTTGCAAACAGCAGAAGATGGTAGTTATTGGGGCATGCTTGCACACGGCCCGGACGTATACTACAATGAAGGGAATGGAGGTGGCCTTTCTGCTAACTCTGAAGATTGAACTTTGGAAGCGCGGTTTCCCTGATGCCTTTTTTTACAATGGTTTGATGTTGTTCTCAAGAAAATTTGCAGGGTTTTGGGATGACTGAGTTGGAGTATTAACCGGTTGGGGAAGGGTCCGTCGTAGGCACTAGAACTGGAACTGGCCACGGGTTAGGAATCAGGCGCTCAGTGTCCTGTTTAGGGGCATTTTTGTTTTGAGGTAGGGGTTCACTGTATACTGACCACGGGCAATGAGTCAGGTGCTCTATGTTCTACTCAGGGGCAATTCAGTTTAGGGGAGTGTTTTCTTTTAGGGGTTTGTCCGTAGCCAGGCTTTGTTTTGTATCTCCCTTTGTTTTTGTCTTTTTGTTTTTGTCTTTTTGTTTTTATCTTTTTGTTTTGTCTTTTTGTTTTTCCTTTTTTTTATTTTTCCTTTCTTTTTTGAAAATATTCCCGAGACGCTTGCAACGTTTTGGCTGGGTTTGTCTGAATACCCGGACAGATGCCTATGAAACAGGCAACGAGTGTGGGGTTGTCCAGAGGCTGGACAGATGGCGGCAAAAGAAGTTGTCATTGGTAATCGACTGTGAGAAGGGACGCATCGTCATTTTCTATAGGCCAGTACCTTTTGATCTTCTACCTTGATGGATCTGTTTCTGTTTTCCGTCTCTTTTCCGTGCTGAATCTAGTCTGTCTGTTTAGTCCTCTTATTTCGGAAAGGCGTGGGTATGACCTTTTCGTGTCAATCTGGTCTCAGAAACCAGTTGTCTGCATTCTAGTTTCTTCAGGGCCTGTTGTGGACGGTATCGTAGGCATGATACTTCTTTCTCTAGTCTGTCTATCCTGCGATGTGAACTTGGGAAGTACTTAATGAGGAGAGTTAGCTTGCTCGATCCCTTCCTAAGTGATACGAGACCCCTGATGATTCCGGTAGTGGCGGCCGGATGAAACACAACGTATGGTCGTTGCGCCAGTCTTCAAGATTATCTTTCGATGTGTATGGCACTTTTTTATTTGAATCTTTCGGCCAGTTTGGTCGCATTTCGGGAAATTTGGGATGAGCTCCTACTGTCTTTTTCCTCTATTGCTCTCTCTGGTTTTGTCCTCCTCTCTCTCTCTCTCTCTCTCTCTCTCTCTCTCTCTCTCTCTCTCTCTCTCTCTCTCTCTCGTGTGTTGATATCAGGTTGATGTTTATAATTGTCTGGACTGGCTTCAGCATTACAAGCATCTCACGCTGTAACCGCCGTAAAAAATAGATTATGGACGTGTGGCTGCGTTTTCATCACAGCACGTTGCAACTTGGTGTCGACCACCCTTTTTCTTTTTCTCTTTTCTTCTTCTTTTTTTCCTTTCTTTTTCTTTCTCTTCTCCTAGTCTATCTGGCTCTCCCTCTTAATTATGCCACTTTAGTATGGCTGCTGTGAATAATGGTTGTTTTAACTGTGGTCAAATTGACCATTGATCAAGAGAATGTCCTCATCCGAGTAGGATAGGGCACCGGCCCTCTTTGGCGACATGGGCTAATGCGGAGCTGCTTTTGGCTCTACGTGCAGCAAGCACTATGACAGCGGCGACTCCTGTTGTGGCCCCGGATAACACCTCGTATGTCCCGGCACAACGAACGGGGTGGTGGACAAGGAACCAACAGATCCTCGATAAGTGTAACGCTTTTTTTAGTAAAGCGCAGCAAAAAGAAAGGGAGGAGTTGGAGGCGAAGAAAAAGGAGAGGAGGCAACATGAGAAAGATGAAGAGGCGGCTCAGCGTAAGAAGGAGCGGGAAGAGTTAGAGAACGTTATGGGAGACAGGCTGGAGAGCAGATTGGCGCCCATGTATGATGCCATCATGGGGAAGGGTGTGAAGCAAGCCAGCGGAAGTTCAGCTGACGACGAGGTTCACTGGCTTAGAAGATAGAACGAGGAGCTGCGTACTAAATACGGGATCAAGGAGTAGCTGCCCTCGTCAGAAGCTGTTGAACGCCTGCAACGTGAAAATCCCGAGTTACGTAAACAAGAGGTCGATCTTAAGTAGAAGATGGAAGGAGACATGGTGGCTTTGAGGTGGGAAATCCGTGAGATGAGGGAGTGTCGGGAAAACTTGGGAAGGAGTGACTTGGCCAAACAATTGGAGGATTTGAGAACTGAGGTTGCCAGTCTGTGCAAGCGCAATGAAGAAATGGAGGAGGTTGCACAATTATGGCGGAGTGAAGCACTGCGCCCAGGCAATAAGCGTGACAGTATCAATGTGGCAACGCCAACTTCGGAGGGACGAGTGTCTACCCAGTCCAAAGTCATGAGTGCGTCTGAAGAATCGAGAAGGTTACGTGCAGAGCTGCTTGATCTTCATGAAAGACGTAAGTGTGACTTATCCGAGGTGGATCTGTTGAAGAAGAAGCGGGCGGAGGCTGAGATCAAACGTGTCGAAGCGGAAATTGAACTGCAACGTCTAAAGGATGAGACGAGTAAGCTTACCAATGAGCTTGGTGGAAGTAACACACCTAAGACAATGGGAACCAACCTGAAGGAACGTATGGAGGAGGCGGCACGGAGTGGTTTTCACAGTAGTCGGAAGACAAAAATGAAGGCGACACCTGGTCGGGCGCTCCCTGGAAGTGAACAAAAAGCGAACGACAAGTTCGCCTTCCTCCTGAACGAAAGGAAGCGTCTGAAGGGTCTCAAGAAAATGGGTCTGGAGGCTATCTGTCAGGAGGAAGGCGTATAGTACAAAACGATTGAGCATACCGACGAGGAGTTGGCACAGATGTACATGGCTTGGGCATTTGGGGATGAAGAAGTCAAAGGGGACAAGCAACTGCGCAAGGACAAGGGAATTGTCGAGGAGGACGATGAGGCGGCGGTGGAAGAGGTCCCATCTGACTCCGCTTGATGGAACTCCTGAGACGTGACACTCTGGGATTGGGTAAACAATTGTCGAGTTCGCCGTTCAGCTTCTTTTTCTGCTCTACGTGATGCTGGTCTCAACTCCTTCTTTCAGCTGGTGGTTTTGATGATGGTCTTTCGTAGGTTAATACCATGGGCCGATAATTTTCGATCGTACTTACTATCTATGACCGAGAGAGGCGATGATCTGTACCGCTGCAAGGGTGCACTTGTCTGTGTACTAATCTCCCCTTGGCATAAGCATGTTTATGTAGGATCGACAAGTCGATCGTTGGATATTCGATGGGGGGAGCACGTCTATCGTGTGTGCAACAGGAGTGTGATCGAGCATGGAGATGAAAATCATCGTTTGTATAATTGGTTGTGTCCATGTGGCACGGAGCACTATGTAGCACTTCCACTTTTCTTGTGTGAACCGAACGACAGACTGGCTTTGGAGAAAATGGTTATTCGTAGAAACAACCTTGCCTTAAATTGTCAAGATAAGCATGCTAAACACCGGAACCGTCGACCGAGGAAGAGGGAGCGGTCTAGGCAGTTGCAGCGTATGGGGTTAGTAAGATGAAAGATAGCGATGTTTGTTCGGCCAGGCACACGCACTTGGTCTTTGAGAACTCAGAGGGGCAGCCATCAGCTAGCTTAGTTAACTTAGTGTCTCAGGTGTGAAAGAAGGGCAAAGCGGACTTGGCAATCTCCTGCTCGGGGGGCAGCCGGTTTTTGGATCCCTGGAAGGTCATAAAACATTGTTTTCGTAGGTCTGTTGTTGAAACTTGCTTTGGAACTGATCTTCTGAAGAAGAGTCATGGTTGGTTCACCGGGGGTGTTACTATTCGTTTTCGTTGCATTGTTTACTATTGCTCGACCCTCCTCTGCCACAAATCTGTGTTGTTGGGCTTTCTGCGTGATCCATCTACTCGAGTGAATCTTTATGAATGGAGTCTCGAACGAATGGTTGATCTGTATTCAGTTGTGCGGTGTTTTAGTGAAAATAGAACGTGGTGTGCTTTGCGCTGTCTGCTGTCAGGGGTGGTAAGACGAAAATTCAGGATCAACGTCCGGGCAAGGTTGGTTGTCCGGGTTACGTATGATGTTCGGATCAGTAAGTGCGGTGTGCGGGCCCTGTGTGGTAGCATCGTGAGGAGTATGGATCTGCATGTTTGTATGAAGGAATTGGTTGTTAGAAGAATGCGGGTGGTATGGACGAAGAATTCGAGTGTTGGGGATGTTTCGTTCAACTTTAGATCTAATAGCAGGGAAACGGATCACGACTGTTGTTGTGAGAGAACAAACAGTATCTTTCCGCGAGTAGATGGATACGTTTGCTTCTGCGCATCTGATGTGGACTTCTTTCCAACATTCCTTAAAAACTCACGTAATATTCCACTGCCTTCCTGTCCTGCCTCTAGTAGAAATCTGGTCAAACAAGTTGCTGCATCTTTTGCGACACTCCCCTTCTTGCGGAAATTTTGTGCTGGGATGGTGGATAAGGGCCTGATAAGGGCTTGTTTCAACAAGCATGACAATGATGTTAAAGCCGGCGGGCTGGATCTGTGTGATGTGATGGATTGGAAAAAGAAACCGGGGAAACTTGTTGCAGAGATGAGCATTTTGTTTTTGAAATGCCACTTCACCCAACCCACCCAAAATTTTCTTAGTACATGCAACCCTTAAAAAAAAAAAAAAAAAAAACGGTTTGAAGCTGATCCAACCCACCCAAGCACTTCTTCGAATTTTTCCGCCCATGCCCAACCCACCTGCCACCCGTAAAAAAGGTTCACCCAGACCCACCCGCACCCGCAAGAAAATCATTGCCCGCCCGCACCCGGAATGTAGTATTTTTTCACCCGCAGCCGGCCGTGCCCGCTATTGTCTATCCCTTCCAACATTTACAGACAATAGGACATTATGACGTGACATGACAAAACCAAACATGCTCAGAGAGAGAGAGAGAGAGAGAGAGAGAGAGAGA